TGGTGCGGACATGGGCGTGGGATCCTCCTGCATCCGAGGGGCTCACGACTGCGCTGTGAGCGCCCCGAGCCACTCGGCTCCGCAGGCACGGAAGCAGAAGCTCCCAACACCTCAACGCCTTTTCTATTCGGGGAACGTGACGAGGGAGGATTTTCTACCACCAGCTGGGCAAGGACGAGGGCGAATGGCAAATACTTGGAGCTCAGCTCCGCACTCCAACGGGATCCAAATGGCACGCATCAGCCAGGAGTGTAACGGGCTCTGTGCCAGGGGCTGAACGTCACCCACCCAAACCTGCCAAGCCCTGGAGTGGGGCTGGCTCCGCAGAGTGAACTCTCAAGGTCAGGTCAAGGTGACAGACAGCTAAGCCAGTTGTGCAAAAGCAGACACCTTGCAGTGAAGTCAGAAATTAAAACTACGAAGCGTAAGCCCCAACACATCAAAGCCAAAATAAGACATCTTAACAATGCCTGATGGGCTGAAAAAGGCAAGCTCAACAGATGTTTGATTGAGTGCGATACGCTTCATGTTAATCATTCAGACTAAATTTCCTAGAGTGCAGTTTCATAGACTATTCAATTGTATTTCAAATTAATCCTTTTTGAAAGAATGACTGAGATGATTGACAAATCTATTGCATGAACAGGCTGCACAGTGAACTCCACAAACAGCTGAACTGGACACTTCCAATAGCCCTAATGCACAAACTCACGCTGAATTTCAAGAAAGCATTCACAGCAAAGTTCTTCACATGATGAGAACTGCTTTGTTTTCGCTGAAAACACACAGCCCATGCTGCCACCTCCTCGTCCCCTTCAAATGTTTAACTGCTTTCCAATTATAAAGGGACGACCTCACCAGTGCTGAGTACGGGGGACGATCACTTCCCCAGTCCTGCTGGCCACACTATTGCTGATTCAAGCCAGGATGCTGTTAGCCTTCTTGGCCACCTGGGCACACTGTTGGCTCATGTTCAGCCGACTGTTGACCAACACCCCCAGGTCCTTTTCCCCCGGGCAGCTTTCCCCATCCCCCCTCCCCCAGCCTGTACGGTTGCAGGGGGTTGTGGTGACCCGAGCGCAGGACCCGGCACTGACCCCTGTTGAATCTCATACGACTGCCCTCAGCCCATCCATCCAGCCTGTCCCCATCCCTCTGTAGAGCCTTCCTGCCATAAACCAGACCACCACTGCCGCCCAACTTGGTGTTGTCTGTGGACTCACTGAGGGTGCACTCAGTCCCCTCACCCAGATCTTGGATAAAGATATTAAACAGAACCGGCCCCAGTACTGAGCCCTGGGGAACACCGCTGGCCACCAACTGGATTCAACTCCATTCACAGCAACTCTTTTGGCCCACCCATCCATCCAGTTTTATGCCCAGCAAAAACTATGCCCATCCAGGTCATGAGCAGCCAATTTCTCCAGGAAATGTATTTATAGAAGCATTTTTAATTGTCTTTTATTATTAAACAGAACCGGCCCCAGTACTGAGCCCTGGGGAACACCGCTGGCCACCAACTGGATTCAACTCCATTCACAGCAACTCTTTTGGCCCACCCATCCATCCAGTTTTATGCCCAGCAAAAACTATGCCCATCCAGGTCATGAGCAGCCAATTTCTCCAGGAAATGTATTTATAGAAGCATTTTTAATTGTCTTTTATGGCAGTAGCCAGATTAAACTCTAGTTAGGCTTCAGTCTTTCTAATTTTCTCTCTGCATAACCTCACAACATCTTTGTAGTCCTCCTGAGCTGCTGCCCCTTCTTCCAGAAATCATAAACTCCTTTTTTTCCTGAGTCCCAGTCAAAGTTCTCTGTTCAGCCAGGCTGGTCTTCCCCAACGGGTCATCTTTTGGCACATGCGGACAGCCTGCTCCTGTGCCTTCAGGAGTTCCTTCTTGAAGAACATCCAGCTTTCCCGGACTCCTTTGTCCTTCAGGACTGCCTCCCACGGACCTCTCTCAACCAGGCCCCTCAACGGGCCAAAGCCTGCCCTCTGGAAGTCCAAGGTAGCAGTTCTGCCTACATCCCTCCTTACTTCTCCAGGAATCAAACACTCTATAATTTCATAATCGCTATGTCTAAGATGGCCTTCAACCACCACATCACCCACAAGCCCTTCTCTGTTGACAAAGAGCAGGTCTGGTGGGTACCTGCCCCAGCTGGAAGTCAGGAAGGTCTCTTCCACACACTCTGAGAACCTCCTAGAGTGTTTCCCCTGCTGTATTGTATTTCCATCGCATCACGACTATTCTATACATCCATAAACACTCCCAGCATCTGTAGTAGCATACGGTAGCGTGACCAGACATGTCCCTAGAGCCCCCTCCAGCCCCCAGCACAAAGGCTGGAGAAAGGGTCAGTGTTTGGCCGCACACATTACCTGTCCCTGCTCAGCAAGGGCCTTCTCCAGGTCTTCTATCTGAGCCTGAGATCGGTGTATTTCTGCTTGGAGCTGCTCACGTGTCTGTAGGATACGAGGGAAAAAGAAAAAAAAAATAAATCAAACTTTCTCTAAAAGACAAAAACACAGATACAGAAAATACTTAAAACATAAAACACTTTTAACAAATGATTTTTTAAGTTCTTCAGCAGAATGAATTTGCAGCTAAGCACATAACGTTAGTCATCAGTCGTAAAAAAAAGTCTGCAAGATAGGATAATAATTTTGAGACTTAAGATTAACATAAACAGCATCCCAGCAGGCAGACAGCAGGACAGCAAAATATAAACGGCTTCTTACAGCTGGTTCTGACAGCCTGCGGTGAGCAGCCGTCCCTCTTCTAGAATAAGGTGTTTAAAAAAGCCAGTGCAATGCAAAGAGTCGTTTCTCCGTGACAACAAACGAAAATCGGTACGCCACGATTCTGGGCACACCCGGTTCCTTTACATTTTTGATGAGTTGGAAAGCTCAGGACAGACCCGACACAAATAACGTCGCGAACTGCGTTGCTCCTCACGCAGTTAGAGCCCTGTCTTACGGCCTTACTGCGTTGTCTGCAGTTTTTTACTACACTTGTAGCTTCGTGCTGATTTAAACATACACCATCTTCCTAGGCGTGTTTTCTGGAGAATAGACATCATTATTATCAGCTATTTTATTTGTTAAATATTGTTTTCTGTCACATTTTCTTCCCTCAAACCATTGATCTGCTATTTATCTTGTTATTTACAACGAAAGCGATCTTATTTGTCTGCATTACCTCCATTGTTCTCTCTTTTTGTCCTACTACGGAAAAAGTAAAATGAAGCCACTTTTCAAGCGAGGCATGTCTTGTTTCATCACGGTTTTCTTTACCGGTGCAATTTGGAACACGTGAGAGCAGAGTGCATGCTTCTGGGAACGCCGATTTTTGGGCGGTTTGGGTATTCAGAGAGAGTGAGATGATTTACCATGGCCAAACGGGGAGGCTGCTGGGAGACCAGGGATGCTGCTAAACCCGAGTGGCTGAGGGTGCTCACCGGCGGAGATGGTGGGGAAATTAGCAGTTAATTCTTCCAATTATTCAGTGGAAGAAAACCAGACTAGTTATACAGCTAGGAAAGCCAAAATATTATTTCAGTGACGGGCTTCAGCTAGAGGAATTTGGCCGTTTGGTTTATCTCTGGGGATATTTGTTTGATCTCAGTTTTGGGGCTGGGGAACCACCCATGGCTGGGACAGTCACAGCTCCGTGGCACATGGTGCTGTGCCACCACTGCTGGCGGCGTCCCCACCCAAGGCACCAGGTTGGATGATGTGGGTGTCTCCCAGCATCGTCATCCTTACCTTGAACTCCACCAGGGATTCCTGGATAACACCTTCACACGTAGATTTAGAGCCAAATCAAGACCTTGCATTACGCTGCTCCTGTCAAGCTTCAGACTGTTAGCTCAGAACAGAATCTGTCCCTTTATTTGTTATATTCACCCACACATTCTGGGCATGGTAAGTCCTGCCAACTCCTTGTAATGTTCAACACACTCCTAATAAATGTCACCTTTTTTGCCAGATGTTTGACCGCGTGGGCTGTGTGAGGCAGACAGGCAGGCGGAATAGCATAGGGCACTTTGCAATTTAATTAAGAAAAAGAATCTCTCTCAGCTATAAGCCTTCTAAACAGTTTACGAGGAATCATGTAATCTCACAGAATCCAGAAGGAATTAAATATCAGGCATTATATATTTAAGGCAATCTGTCCTACATTTTTATAGAACAAGAGCTTAATATTAAGGATTTCCCATAAAAATTCTGTCTGACTTTCTCTTAAACTGATCAGAGGTGCAAAGACTAAAGCATAGTAACGGTGGTTCCTCCAGCAAACCAGCACTTCACAGGGGGTGCTGGACAGGCTGGTTGCTGTTAGAGACCCTGGAGCCCACCTTGGCAGCCAGTCCCGCTGAGCCCCCCGCCCTGCTCCCCAGCTGCAACGTGCTGGAGGGGCTGGCTGAGCCCAGATTAGCTGGAAAACAACCCGAGCAAGTACAGCTGGAAACCCCCAGACAATTACAGTCCTTTATTTTCATGTAATATAAGCCATTTAGACCTTAACTTCTCGTTCTGCATCCAATGTTCCTCCGACCTGTTCTTGCAATAGGGCGTACGCTCGTTGCAGAGCCTGGTACTCCATCGTCAGCTGCCGAAACCGCAGTTCTGTCTCTTCCTTGGCCATGCCCTGGAATTAAAAACAAAAAGCCAGTTGCTTTTTTTTCCTGCAATGAAAGTAAAAAATATTGTAAGAGTGGATTATGTTTGCTTTCTCTAAAAAGTGCCAAAATTATTGCTTTCAAAATGCAATTTGGGAAGCACAGTATTAAGGATCTTGTTTATGTACCCTCGGACTACTTCTCTTTTGTCCCTTAAACATCTCTTGCATACATTTACTTCAAGAAAATGCAATATATAAAAAAAAAAAGATAATTTCCTCCACCTTGGAAAGATAAAAACTTGCCATCCATATAACATACTAATGACTGAATTGCCCTTTATTACCGTATCAGGCAAAGTCATCACATTTAAAGGTGAAAATACAACTTCCTGGAAACAACAAAAGGTTTCCAATCTGGAGAATAAGCTAAGCCTGACAGTCTCGCTGAATTATTAAAACACTAATCTAGAGTTAATACTTGTAGAAACGGTGACATCAACATGAAAAGAGCCCTTTGTCTTCTTCACTCTTTACAATATCCAGCACTGAAGGCTTTCATGTCAGGTTGACCGGAATATTTCATTTGACATGAAATGAAATCATACTGCTGGTTGCAGGCATAAACATCGTACTCTCTGAACAGGGAAAAAAATGTTCATACAGGAATGAAATTAATATATATGTATTTGCATATGTATGAGTATGAGCTTATTTAATAAATAGGCTCATACATATACAAATACATTCGGATTTCCTGCAGTGCAGCACACACCTGGTAACCACTCATGTATCTTTCACGGTAGAGACAGGAATTCTTTAGGTTCCCTCTTAACAGAGCTCCTTACAACCCACGAAAGAGGTGAAACGGCAGATGAAACACGCAGCGTCACACCATAACAAGGCTGCAAGTCATCACTGGGAATTGTTGGTTTATTACAAGATTCTTCTTAAAGCCAGAAACACGTAACGGCACAGCAACCTGACACACTCGGGAACGCGTTTGTAGGGCAGCCCCGCGAAACACCAGGAATAACCACTTTTATTTGTGCTACCAGCTACCTTCGGGCGCTCTGCACGCAGAGCCGCCAGAGAAGCCACGACCTCGATATCCTGGCGAGGAGACAGCCTCTCCTCCGGAGGCTGCTGCTTTGCGTGGCACCTTACTTCTCCTTCCAGAAACACACGCCCTACCGCTCACGGCTGCGCTCCGTGCCGAGGTCGAAACGACAAACAGAAGGACCTGACCGAAACTACACGTGCACAGACCTGCAGCGAATCTCCGTGTGAACGGGTCTTCCTAGGGCCAAACAACTTCTCAGTCTTTTTAGACCCCTGACCTATAATCCCACTATAAATCTAACATTCTTACCGTATAATGCTTCCGTTTTGGCTAAAAGTTGTGAAATTACAGAAGACTGGAGATCCAGAGATATTAACCAACATGCACAGTATTAAATTTAACACCAAATTCTAATTTTCGAGTCAGAGGTGACAGGCGAATGATATAACAGACCAGGAATTTCATTAAAAATTAGTAGCAAGGTTTCAAAACAAAACAACATGTGATTTTTGATGAGTACCTCTTCCAAGTCATCTTCAGGAGTGCAAGGGGTTTGGTCTGTCCGGTCAGTTTGGTAGGAGATAGAAGAACCATCAGACTCCAAGGAAGCTTCTTCATCGTAGCCGAAAAACGTCTCCACAACCGGCTTCTGACAGAGACAAGGTGTCAGCGAGCGCAGCCGTGCCCGCAGCGGTGCCACCAGCCGCGCCAGCCCGACGGCATCAGGGTGACAGCAACAACTCTGGACATGTGGCTAAACCCTGCACCTTTGCAGGATTTAAACACAGACACCTTTGGAGGAACCTGAATTCCAGATCGTTGGTCATTTTCACTCTACTGGTTTTCGAAAGACCACCCAGTTCTTTACAAGTGTTCTGTGAAGCGTTTTCACCCCAATGGTAGTGCTCTAACGAGAGCTGGAACTATTCAAATCACGGAATTGCTGTGTTTGTTATTCAGTATCACAGTGAACAACCCCAAAGCCCTTGCCTATTTTTTTAATGTATTTTCCTCCCGATTTCTCCAGCTAAGGCAGATCACCCTTTTTACTTCTTTGTGTTCATCTCAGCGTGAGGTGGGACTCGTGCATTGAAATGTCTTTGTTAATCCATCGTCATCACCATGATGTCCCCCCCGTTACTATCACAACTGGCACTTGGAAACTTAGATTTTCAAGAAATATTCTACTTGGAAATTTGAAGTTAATCACCACAGCAATGTTTTTAGTTTGAAGAAATCCATTTTTTCACTCAAATCTGCTTTTTGTGTAAAAGAATGAGGGTAGTGCTGGTAAAAAAAGATTTGCTGTTAAACACTTGAAAGCCAAAGACAACATTTCAAACAGTTTTAAAGTTATTTTTAATTTTTGTTTGACAGAATTTCTAGATTTTGGCTTTTTTTTTTTT